TGATCTAATGTCTTCGATCTCTGTTTAGAAATTGATTTAACCCCTTTCGCAATGTTAGCAAATTTAATAATGTCTTTATTTTTCACGATTGTCGATATCGTCGTTCTCGGAATACGGAATGCAACAGTTAAATCTCGTTAAATCTTGAACACGTGTGCCACCTTCATATTTCTCAACAATCTCTTTTTTCAGTTCCGTTGTGATTCTAGTCATTTTTTTTATTTTTCTGTTGCCCTTTTGCAATTCATGATTAATAAAAATAATAAAATGTTACTTACAAATTAAAATCAGAAGAAATTTAACAAAGTTATAAACCGTAGCACCGCGAACGTCTAGTCTAGTGTAGTACACCGATAGTGTTACTTGTTCATAGATGGCACGTGTAATTAAGTCATATACCAAACAAAAGTCGTATACCGAGCAAAATTTGTTTCGTCCAAACAGGACGTATTCCAAATTGGACGTATTCTAAAGCAGACGTATACCGAGGTTCCACTGTAGTTACTTGAATTTATCTCAGGAATTTTTTTTTGGTTTCTTTAAATATTGTTTTTTCATTTTGTTAGTTTTAATGCAAACTGAATTGTCATCTTTTTTCAGATCTTAACACGAGTCTGAACTGATCAGTAACTTATAATAAAACTAAAGCACAGGTTTAATAACTGTTAGGAAAATAAACTTATTTCAAATGAAAAATGACTAGAAATTTCAATATTTCATTCATAGCTATGACATTTGCAACATTCACATATTTAGTCATTATTATTAATTAATGCTGGTATAGATATTAAATGCTTATTATACATCATGATAAGCATTTTATATTAAATACAGATTATGATATATTATATATATATATCATAATGTGTATCTAATCACACATGCATATGCATAAAAATTTGGACATGTATCTTCTTTATTTCTCAAAATGTAATAATGATACACTTTTATGACACTATTACAATTTTAAAATTATTTTCATTACATTGTTATAGTTTTTTAATCTTATTAAGAAATTGTAATAATAATTGAGTTGCAATTTGAAAAAAATGTAGACCTATAAATTTCCACTGTTGTTCATCTTTTTTTTTTTTTTTAATCTCAAGAATGGATTTAGATAGATGAAAGACCGACCAGATATGGTCGGTCTTTCATCCATTGTTATCCATTCTTAGGGGCAGGAGCACCAATTTACTATGTATGAACTTTCAATGCAAACCAGAAGTTATGTTATTTCAATTCAAAAATTTTCCCCTGTAAGGTGTTAGGTAGATGACCAACACAACTCTGTTGTTAAAGGAAAAGTATGATGTATAAGGGCAAGCCACTAATAATTTGAGGTGGAAAGGATATATTTTAAATTAACTAAATTAAAAATATGATTAAAAATTGCAGCTCTGCATTGTGACAATGTCACAATAGATATTTGCTTGTTTATTCCAATTGTAACTTATACATAATCCAAGTGATTCATTTAAGATATTATGAAGAAGAATCAATTGTAATAGCATCCTAAATGTCCATCACTGACTTAATTTTAAAGATTATCTTTAATTTAAAAATTACTTATTAAAATAAAATTAATTTAGGGATACAGAAGCAATTAAACGACATCCCGAGTTTTGTCTGTTTGCCTGCATGAATCCAGCAACTGATATTGGTAGGAAAGATCTTCCTCCTGGCATTAGAAATAGGTAAGATTATATTATCAATATTAATGTAAAGGATAATTTATTTTAGGACCAAAATTTAATTACATCATCAGAAAATGACATGACCAAATGTGACTATTTATTCCTATTTAGAATTTTTTATATTTCTTTATTTTACAGCTAACTAATTGAACTTTAAATATTTATTATCAGTGTATATCAATCACATATATATTACTTTATAAAATTAAAAAGTAAATTTCAAAAATTAAATTTTTTAATTATAATTTTTCTGAAATAAAAAGTATGCTTTTTTTAAAAGATGAAATTTTAAATTTTGAAAAAGATATAGTCAGAATAGTATTGCTGATTATGTATTTTGAATGCTATAAAAATAAATATAAAAATAAAACTTTTTATATAGTGTATATATAAAAAATGAATCCCAAAGTCTGATGTATTAATATTAAATCAAACAACCACTGTAATTAATTGGGCTATTTTACACTACACATAATTGTAGCATAAAATAGCTTCAATTAATTACAGTGGTTGTTTGGTTTAATTTTTAAATAATATTTATTATTTATTTCATTCTATTAAAAATAACATTTGATGACGTAATTCTAATTAAATTTATTATTTATGTTAATAAATTCTCATTAAAATTTTAGCAAAACTTTTTTCTTACAGTTATATTTTAAAAGTGTAATCCTATTATATTACTTGAATGATACTGTTGATGAGATTAATGTAATTTGGTGTTTCTTTGAATAGAATTAAATGACTTTTCATCAAAAAAATTTCTCAGTATTTAAATATTGAGAAATTTTTTTGATGAACCAGCAATTTACAAAATAGTAATTTTCATCTTGTGATATAATTTAATTTTTTTAGTTTTTTGGTTATATATTTATTAAAGGCATTTTAATATTTTATTCGTAATTATTCATTTAATTTGTTAAAACTATATTAATCTCTATGTAAATATAGTAGATTTTAATTCAAAGATAATTATGTGAAAACGTTATTCCAAACTTTGAACCTGCTATAGATGTTTGATATAGAATTCTGTTTGATTTGATACAAGCCACTGAAAGTAGCTGAAAACATTCATTTTTAATTAGTGAATTGCTGGAAACTGAGAGGAAGGTTTGAATTTTAGCATTATCTTTAAATGATACTAGATAAATGTCCCATAGTTATGTTAATTTTTATAGTAAAATCATTATGTAAAAAATTTTATTACTGGATTTAATCCAAATTAATCTAGTGATTCCAAGTAAAGATAAATTTATCTAAATGCAAGGATTGAAGACTGTTCAGTTCTAAAAAGTTCTCATTGTTCCCATAATTTGTGTTCAGCAAACAAGTCAATTTGAGAAGGAAGAATTTGTCTCACTGCTATTGGAAATTCTAATCACATTAATGACAAAGTTATTCTCTGGTCTGACTTTTAAAGGAATTTTAATACTTTAATGAATTGTTAACTTCAATTTTTGTAATTATCAACAATGTTAATCTGATTGTTCTTGAATATTTGATACTAGTTATTTACTAACTACTCCATACATGATACAAGGAAAATTGGCAGCACTGTTATCTTATTCTCATTGTTTTTAATGAATTACATGAAAACAAATTCAGTATAAAGGTTTATACACAGTATACAGTAATAGGTTTTATTGGAAGTTTGGTATTTTAGAAAAGCAAATACAATACATACCTGTGTTAGGTATAAATAAAACATACCTTAAAAGAAACAGTTTGTCAATAGTTTCTGATGCTTGCCTTTAAGATGCAAGTCAATCAAAGAAAAGCAGCATTAAATTCATCTGTGTATTATATTGCAAGAGATGTTTCTCAACAACAATTTATGCTATCAAAATGTAGTCACTGATTATTGAATTTGTAATTGACACTTCAGTTCATAATTTGAGATATAGAGATTTTGGGAGAAAATTATTTCAGATAAACATGGAAAAAATAATTTTTGAGATAAAGAGGTTTACAAGATGATAATGTTTGAGATAGACAGGTTCAATTGATTAAAAAATACTTTGTGAGCTTTGTTTCTCTGAAAAGGTTTGAATTTGCTCTTGAAATACATTTTTTATACTTTTTGTCACTGTTATACCTGGAGGCAATTTTACTTATTTGTTTACAAGTAGAATCTTAATATTTTGTTTTATTAGGCTACAATTTGAAAAATTGTAGACCTATAAATTCCCATAGTAATCTGTTTGTTGTTTCTTACTTTCAAGAATGGTGTTAGATAGGTGAAATCCAAGACCAGGTATGGAAACTTAGGGGCAAGAGGCCCAATTAACTATATATGAACTTCTAATGCAAATTGGAAGTTACATTATTTCAATTCAAAACTTTACCCATAAAAGCAGTTAATAGATGACTGGCATGATTCGTTGATAACAAAAAAGTATGATGTACAGGGGCAAGACACTACAGTACTAATTTGAGGTGGAGAGCATATATTTTAAGTGAAATAAATTAAAAATATTATTAAAAATTTCAGCCTGGCATTGTGACAATGTCACAATGAATAATTGCTCATTTAGATTAAATTATATTTCTTGTGCTCAAAACTCTCTTCTGTTTCAGCATTAAACAGGTTTCCAGCATATAATAAAATATAATAGAAAATTGCTCTCTTCCGAAGTTTTTTATGTTTAGGCAGATTTTATTGTATTTATAAGAAACATAATATATTCAAAACTTTATTTGCAAATATGTCAAGAAAGGAAAGTGTTAAATTTTTTAATAATTACTGGATTAAGTTTCTGTTTTTTTTTCAAATATTCATTTTTAAATATTTTATGATGATGATGATTAACTTTTTTTATTCTTTTCATGTATTGAAATTCAGAAATTTATTAGAATTATATTGAAAAAATATTTTACATGTTTTTTTATATTATTAATTTGAAATGTTCCAAATTATTCCAATAAATTTTATAAAATTTGTTTTTAAGCATGTTATTAGTTTTACTATTTTTTAGTATTACTTTTAATTTGTTGTTGTAATCTATAATTATTTGTATTTGATAACACTATAATTTTAAATAATTTTTTTTTTAGATTTTCAGAATTTTTTATGGAAGATTTAGAAGACAAGGAAGATTTAGCAATTTTAATTGACAGTTATCTGAAAGGTTTAACACTTTCAACAGAAACAGTAAACAATATTGTCAAATTTTATATCCAGATTAGAAAAGATGCTGAATGCAAATATTCGGATGGAACTGGACATCATCCCCATTACAGGTTGAGTTATTTTTATGAAGTTTTTGTAAATAAAAAATTGTTTTAGTTATATATAAAGCAGATGGAAATTTAATAATGTGGATCTTTGGCATATAATAACAATAATAATAATGTATTTATTTTAGTAATAAAATAATAGAATTTTCATATTTTAATCACTTACAGTATTTTCTCTACTGATAACCAATTGATAACATTAAGTAGGATAAGTATATAATATAGAAATAGTTAAATAAATAAAACTCACGCCAAAATTGTATAGCTTCTTGATAACAAGCACTCTGCACATTCTATTTTTTCAAATTTGTTTTTTTTTGCCTGAGGACGACAATATAATACTCATCGAAAGTACTTGCGATATAAGAAAATCATGTTAACGCTGAACTCAGTGAACTTATCAAGAAGCTATACAATTTTGGCATGAGTTTTATTTAATCAACTATTTCTTTACATAATGGAAACTGTGAAAAACTTTTTTTCACGTTGCTGAAGCTACAGAAACTGTGGCAAAAATTGCTTGTCCAATTACAATTTTTTTTGAAATGCAGAGCAAAAAGAGTGGTTCCCAAGTGCATGCAGTTTAAGCGCAAGAAATTTTCAGAGTGCATACGAGGGATACTTCCGAAGGTAGAACAGTCCCTTTTGACCAAGCTAATTAGAAATAAACGCAAGTGCCTCGCAGAAGCAGAGCAAAAAACCTATGTAGCTCATCTGTATTTTCCTAAGGCATGTGACCCCCTCCACGTTGTACGTTCAATTGGGCAAAGTGCAAAGTATAACATCGATTGCCATGCAGAAAATTAAAAAGAAGTTGAACAAAAAGCTCCAGTGGCTACTCAATTCGTCACGTATGCAAAAAAACGGCAGCAGTAACCACTTCATATTATAACTATACAAAAGAGAATGTGCCCATAATTGTGCATAACACACTGCAACGGGATCCCAATTACATCTCACCTCCTATGAGATCCAATTTTGACCAGCTTTTTATGTATCCCGTTAATTTTAATGTAGCAGTTAATCCCAGCTACATTAGCAGCTTTAAAATCCTGCCAGACTGCACCGATATACCAGCAAATGGAGTTAGAGGTCATCACAAAACTTGCTACAACAGAACAAATCTCTGATGCACCAAATAGTCACAAAGACCACCAGGCAGTAACGAAATTCCTTGCAAGAACAATCTGAGGCTCTTAGTATCAGACAAGGACAAAAGATTTGTTTTGTGCAGAGAAAATGACTTTATCACTAGAGTCAATGATTTTCTGTTACAATCAAGCTCTGTGGAGATAAACAGCAACCCAACACCAGCAGTACTACGAAGAGCAAAGAAAATCATAGCACTTCCAGGAATAGCCTTGACACTACCAAGACGCCTCAATCCTCCATCCAACGTTGCATGCCCTAGGCTATTTTTTCAGCCAAAAACGCATAAAGAGAACTGGCCACTACGACCATTAGTAAACAAAAGGTCACATTCCACTTACCACCTGGAAAAAGCCCTTGCAAAGTTTCTACGAGAGATACTTCCGGAATCACTGCATGTCACTCCTTCCTCTGTAGATGCCAAAACCATCATTAATTCCAACATGGCAAAAGCACATGGCAATACCAACATGTTCTACAAAATGGACGTGATATCCCTATACCCATCCGTTCCTGTATTTGAAGCCGTAATGCTAGCCAACGCTATGCTCCTCAGAAAAGGTTTTACAGTTCAACAAGTGCTATACATTCGTGAAGTGCTGATGTTCATCACCGAAAATAACTATTTCCGCTTCAACCAGAAAGTCTACTTACAGATGCAAGGGGTTTTCATGGGCTTTCCTCTCTCCGCAGTATTAGCCGAGCTCATTATGAGAGACGTGAAACAAAAAACTTTCAACACCCCACTTGCTATATGCTATCCATCACTACACTTACGCTATGTAGACGACATCCTACTAATATGGGAAAATTCAGAAGAGGAGTTTATCCAGTTTATGCAGCAACTTTCACGTGTCCATTCCACCATCAATTTCACCTGGGAAAAAGAGCAGGATCAATCTATAACATTTTTAGATATGTGGATACGGAAGTCACTAGAAGGGCCGCAGTTTACAGTACATCATAAGTCCATTATGATCCCCTATATCATTCCAGCTGATGCATTTCAACCATTGCGATATGTCAACGCCGCCATAGCAGCTCTTGTCAGAAGAGCAATGCTACTTCCCTCATTGCAAGCTCTAATAAAAGTTGAATTGGAAATCGTAAGAATAGCAGTACATCATGCTGGATTCACAGGTGCCAAATTTACGCATGTACTACATAAAGTAAAAGATTCCCTTTTTCCATTTACCACACTATACAGCAAAAAAGAAATGTCTAGAGTACAATCAGCGTTGCTGTATCTAGGAGCACCGTCCATACTTATTAGCCGTATTTTCCGGCGATACAGCTTTACCCTTCCTTTAACTCCCCTACCCAGACTACGCAGGAGCATATGCAATGATCGGGATAAAGTTGACATTTTAGAAAAATCGGGAGTATACGCATTGCAACTAGAAAATCCAATAACAGGGATAATTGAGAAGTATATAGGGGCAACGACAAGAATGATCGCTTGCCGTATTGCAGAACATCAGGAGGATATAAACAAAGGAAGACAGACCACAGAGCTCGCCAGAAAAGTTCTACAGCAGGGCTATAACCAGTTATGGTCAAAGACATCATTGCTCAAGTGCTGTAATAACAGAAGGATTACATTTATTTGGGAAGTGCTCCTCATGATGACCACAGACGCATGCAACGTCCCTACCCTCGACTTACCCGAAATATGGGTTACTTTATACCAGTGTTTAAACAACAAAATGCACCAAGAGTCACACAATTAGTATGATTGCTCCTCAACGCATGCGCTGCTAGTCGTGTGGATTTAAGATCTTTCAAATGCTCGCAAAAGCTTGTTGCACATTACCAACGGAATTACCAAACATTATAATTTAAAAATTGACAAGAAAATTTTCCATTTTCTACTTGGAACACACTGCACATTCTATTTTTTCAAATTTGTTATTTTTTGCTTGAGGATGACAATATAATACTCGTTGAAAGTATTTGCGATATAAGAAAATCGTGTTAACGCTGAACTCAGTGCTTGTTATCAAGAAGCTAAGTATATAATACTACAATTTGTGGAATTTCTGGTTTAATTAATTCTGACATTAAAAGGGTATGCCAAAACACTGAAAAATGTATAACTATTGCTGTTGCTTTTGATATGAATTATCTTCCTATGAAATGGATTAGATCAATTCATCTTTATACTTTATTTTGGAACCAGTAATCTTTTCTCTGAAATGAATTTCTTGTTTGCTACAGTGCAACATTGGTCAACCCCAACAGCCAACAGGAAACTAGTATTAAGATCACATGTAACAATAGAGATGGCTAATGTTAATTGTAATAGTGAACTTTCAAGTCTCAAAAATATGGAAAATGAGCAAAAAGTTTTGGAAAATTGTGGAAGAAAAAGGACAAAAAAGGACATTGATTCTTGGACTAGAAACATTAAGAAGATAGAAAGAAACTCAGGAGAACAGGCAAGAACATCTGCAAACGTAAATAAGATTCAACATACAAATGTGTTTGCAAATGTGAACCATTAACATTACACTACATAACATTGTAATTAAGTTAACAAAGCATCAATAGTACAACTACCAATAAAATAGTGTTTACTTTCCTGGCTCTGTTATAACAGAGGGAAAGTATGGCAATCGGTCAAAATCCCAGACCCCAAGATTTTTACATTTTTTTACTTGACCTTGAAACATTGAGAAATCAAACAAATTTAGGGGTTTTTTTTCTATATCTAAGGATGGTGTATGTGTATGTGTGTGTGTGTCAGTCATGATTCTGTTCACTCTCTTTAAAGCTTAATAACTCCTGTGATTTTTATTGAAAATTTCTGAAATTGTGCAGGGAAGTCTGTGTATTAAAGAGATTGATGCTATTAAATTTTGGTGGTTAAACGTCAATGGGGTAGGGAAATAAATGGAATCATGTCATATCTCAAGTACGGTTTGACTTAATGACGATTTTACTCATTATTAGCATTTACAATTTTTCATAAAACCCATCTCTACTCTCAAAATAAAGTTTTTTGCCATTTTATAATTAAAAATACAAAAAGTTTTTAAAAATAAAATATCACAACAGATGGTGCCATCAAACGTTGCCAGGAAAGTTAAGCAACTCGTTGCTGGATTTTTTTTAAATTCCAAGAAAAACCATAAATGTAAAACTTTAACAAGCTGTTTCTCTCATTTTTTTTAAATGTGGCTTAGACCACTGTTGCACTGACCTTTCAATTTTTTTTAAAGTTAAAATATTTAATTTGCCTTTTTAAATATTTCAGTTTGAGAACATTATGTCGTGCTTTGGATTATGCTGGTAGAAATCCTTGTTACTGTGTTCCACGTTCATTATTTGAGGTATGTATAAACTTGAAATTGTTGCTAAAAATGCTAAAATTAATTCATGATAAATATTTTTTTACACTGAAAAAAAAAATTTTTTTACATACTCTTTATAATAGTATAATTTTATATTTGTATAATTAAATACATTAACAATACAAAAAATATATAATATAATTTATATAAATATATAATATAAATTTATAAATATAATAATGTATATTTATAAATTTACAAGTTAAATTTTTTAACTTTATTATAGAATGTGAGGATAACTTACATTTGACTCTATCATAAATTACCATATGTTCCGGTGTATAAGACGACTTTTTAACCCAGGAAAATCTTCTCAAAAGTCAGGAGTCGTCTTATACACCGGAATATATGGAAATTTCTGAAATTAGACAATATAATAATAATAAGTATATAAAATAGAAATATATTATTAATGTCATCAAGCATTTAAGTGTATGAAGCATATATATTACAATTTATGTTTCTCTTCTTAGATATTCAAAAATGTAATTAATGTCATTGAGATATATGGCTTTTTGTCGATTTTTACAAAATCTATGATACTTAATCTATAGATTAGGATTTTCTAATTAATAATAGCATATTTTACAATTTAGAATTCAAATAGTATTTTTTAATAATAATATCTTGATTAATAATGTAATTATTTTAATTTTTAGGTTATAACCATAATAAAAATTTATTTTTGTCATTTTTGCTTTTATTTCAGGGATTCTGTTTAAGTTTTTTGACTCAGTTGGATCGATCGAGCCATCCTTTAGTCATTAAACAAATAAAGCAACATATATTGAAGAAAAACCAGCAGTCTATTTTGCATCAACCAATTAAACAACCTGGTGAAAAATTTATATGCTTTGAGGGATATTGGATTCAAAGAGGTGAAAATAATCCTGTCACTCCTTCAAATTATATTTTGACACCATCAGTTAAACAGAACTTAAAAGATTTAGCTCGAATTGTATCTGCAGGGTAAGAATCAATGTAAAATAACTTAGTATTATTCATTTTTTTTAAGATTTAATTTTAGTAAATTAATTTAATATATCAAGAAGTTTTTATATTTTTAATAAATTCAACTTTGACATTGTATATTCTACTCAGAAAGCATCCTGTTCTATTGCAAGGAGAGACATCTGTTGGAAAAACAAGTTTAATTCAATGGCTTGCTTCAGTGTCTGGTAACAAATGTGTAAGAATAAATAATCATGAACATTCAGATTTACAAGAATATGTAGGAAATTATACTTCTGATGATGATGGAAAATTATTTTTCAAGGAAGGTATATAATTTTAATAAATGCGAAATGTGCAATTTCTAGATATATAAATTGTAAAGGTTTGATGTGAACTGATTTAACATTTGACAAAACAAGTATTTCAATAAATATTAATACAGATTAATGCAAAATGTTAGCAGATTATATATATNATAAATTCCAAAAATAAGTAGTTGTGCCTTGAGTTTTCAAGATACCCTAAAATAAAAAAGACAGAATATAAAAGTTTTGGTTATATAAAAATTGTTGCAATATGTTAGATAGATTTATTTTTCTTCTCATAGAATATTATTTTTTTAAATAAAAGATTTATCATGTGGAATAGAAAAGAAATTATTTATGATTATAGCAAATTTATAAACAAAATAAAATTGAGTCAATTACATTCATCTAAGATGATTAGATTTGAAATATATGCTTATATGATTAACTGATATTTATATAAAATTGTTGTTGTAATCTTAAAATGAAAATAAAAAGAAAAAGAAATATAAGTTGCTAATAAGTAATTTATTAACTAACTTATTCTCTTATTAACTACTTATTAACTAACTAATATAAGTTGCTAATAAGCAACTTATTAACTAACTTATTCTCTTTTATTATAGGTATTTTAGTAGAAGCTATGAAATTTGGTTATTGGATTATTTTAGATGAACTTAATCTTGCACCAACTGAAGTCCTTGAAGCCTTAAACAGGGTAACTTTGAAACATTTATTTTTTAAAGTAATACAGGCATTCTTTGCCAACAATAGGATTATGAATGAAAAAACTAGTGCAGTTAGGAAAAGAATAATGAACATTGAATATACATTTTATAATAAAAAAATTAATTTTACACCAAAATACAATATAGTGAATTTTTAAATCATAAGAAATGAAAAAAAATCTTAATGTTTCAAAATGGTTGAGAAGTATAATTCTTAAAAAAGCTAAGAATTGAAGTCTAGCTTATTTTACTTTTTATATCCTTTGAATTTCTGTATAGTAGATCAACAATACTTTCAAACTACAAATTGAATCTCCTTAATCTGGCAACTTTGGGATCTGACCATTTTCAATACTACAGAAAATGCTGTATTATAGAAATTGCCCTTTAAGATCTCTAAGGAAACCACCTACATAACCATATGCTTATTCCATATACATATTGCTGTATTATCAAAGGTAGAGCTAAATTTCAGGAAATAATACAACTATTAATGCTTTTAAACAAGATTTTTTTCATTGTTTTATGTGATATAAAGCCCAAAACTAAAAAGTACTTTGTTCCTGAAGCACCGGAAGTCAGCAGTATCTTCATGGTATGCAGGGTCATTAGGGTTGCTATGCTTATCAGGTGTGTGTGTACAACAGAAACAGAGAAGATGCAACAAAGTAGATTTTCTACATTGGAATTAGTCTTTGAATCAGTTATTGATGACCTTCAACCAATGTTGCAATATAGCTTGCTTTTGCCTTAATTAATTATATTTGAATGAAATAAACAGACATAACTGATCTACAAACAAGTGGTGGCAAATCCAAAACATACTAGGCAATGGGAGTTGCTAGATTGCTGAATGCCAGATTAGAGGTTCAACTTTCCCTTTGGCAGCTAGATTAATGTTTATAAAATGATAATTTATAAATAATTTTTGGCATTTAATTACAAAAAAATTTTTAATTATGTAAATAATACATTAATTTCTATTGTTTTAAAATGTATAATTTATTGATAGTTAAAATATAAATTTTATTGCAATATTATAAAAATGTTTCATAATATATCATTAATTTTTGATAGAAATTAATTTACTTTAACACTGCAGTTGGGGAAAATCTCTGTTGTCAAGGGATTCCTGTACTTAAAACAGAATTAAACTCATTAAATTTGTGATTATTGATATTGTTTATTTATATTTTAGGTACTAGATGACAACAGAGAACTTTTTATTCCTGAAACACAACAAACAATAAAGGCTCATCCACAGTTTATGTTATTTGCAACCCAAAATCCACCAGGATTGTATGGTGGAAGAAAAGTTAGTAGTTTTTAGTTTTGTCATAATATTTATTTGTTTTTATTATGCAACTAATAATCTGATTTTGAAATAAATAAAAATTTTAACTCAAACTGTAATAATGCCATGTTAGTGTTAAGTGTTGAATGAAATAAAACTGTCAAATAC